GTCACATTGCACAACTCTGTCCTACGAAAATCCACCAACAGAAACACAGAATGGTTGGTCTGGAAAAGGCCTTAAAGATCTTCTGTTTCCACGATCTTGTGGACACCTTCCACTATCCCAGGTTGCTCCAAGCCCTGTCTGACCTGGCCTTGAACACTTCCAGGGATGGGGCAGCCACAGCTGCTCTGGGCAACCTCTGCTAGGGCCTCTCCACTCTCACAGGGAAGAGTTTCTTCCCAATATCCCATCTAACCCTGCCCTCTGGCAGTGGGAAGTCATTCCCCCTTGTCCTGGCACTCCAAACCCTTCTTGTACCATTAATAAATAAAAATTTTTATCCCTGGCACAGTCTGTGCATTTATTTAGCCAATACATCTGAGTAGGAACCACAATCAGCAGAAATTATAATCTACCTGGAAAAAGGAAGGAACCAGCTCAGAAGAGAGGAAAAAAGCTCAAGGGACCATGGTGACTTGGGAGAGGGATGGTGACTGGGAGCAAGCACCTGTGAATTGGAGAGTTACAGCAAGGAGCATGGGATGAGGGATGGGCTTGCCAGATGCAGCACTTCCCCACACCAGGAATAAATTAAAGGTTAAAAAATTCCATATGAGGAGAGTTGTAACTGGATGATCTTTTAGGTCCCTTCCAACTCAATCTACTTTATGGTATCAGAGGATATATAAATAATATAACAGATTAGGATATATCCTATTACATGTCACACATTATACATTATATTTATGTATTTACTGCTCATCATTTTGAAAAACCCAGACACAAACCCTGGGTGGCAAATGAAGCCCCCCCCCAGGCCCAGTTATGCAACATCCATGGACTCAAGGATGCTGGAAGGACAAAAGAAAAAGCTCTGGGGGTCTGACAATGGATCCCAGAATCACTGAGCTTGGAAAAGACTTCCCAGACCACTGAGTTCAACTTGTGCCTGATCCCCACCTCGTCACCAGCCCAGAGCACTGAGTGACATATCCAGGTGTACCTTGTACACCTCCAGGGATGGGGGTTCCACCACCTCCTGGGCAGTTCCAGTGCCTGACCACCCTTTCCATGAAGAAATTGCTCCTGATGTCCAACCCAAACCCACCCCGGCACAGCTTGATCAGAGTTATCCTTCATTTCACTAACATGCTTTGAAATCTTCCTGCCCTGCAGATACCACTGAAACAGCTCTCAGCATCCTGATTTTTATTAATATAATTTATGTGCTCCAAGCATCGTCCTCTTCCCCCAAACATGAGTTGCATTCGACGGCGTTCTGCCAAATAATAAATCAATAGCTTGTGCAGCTTGTTTTTTCTGCACAGGTCATGTGGCCCGCAGCTGGCCAACATTTCTCAGAGGGTAGCTGCTCTCCCATCTCCAAGGAAAACAGAAATCTGAACTGAGCCTCCCAGGACTCAATGGTTGACTTCTGATGGTTGGCTTTTGTCTTCAGAGGCAATAAAGAAGCGTTAACGCCTAACCAGTGATGAGATACAGAAAAATCCCTAACTGGAAGGAAAGGAAGAGTGTTCCAAGCAGTAGGAGAGAGACCTTTTTTTCATCATTTATTTTGAATTTAAATATTTTAGATTGATGCTTTTTAAAATTAATTCACTCCCACACTGATTTCTAAATGTAATATTTAAGTAAGATATCTAAACTCATTTCAGAGTGTCATGTTCCTGGGGGCTGTTGCTGCTCAGAATCATGAGGTGAAATTCAGAGGTGGCTGGAGGTAGTGACCAGAGCTCCAAGACCATCAAATCTCACCTCCAACCAAACACCACCACGATTTAGACCAGACTGTTGGATTTCTCCACCTATTGCACAGGACCAGTAAACCCTACAGACCTCCCTAAATATTTACAGAGTTTTGGATGGCTGAGCAAATGTTCCACAGGATGCGTTATCCTGATGAAATTCAGTCTGAGCAGGCTGAGATTTACTGGCTGGGACACCAAGCTCATCAGGGACTCCACCAGAAAATAGACTTCACTGAACACCTGAGCTCCTGCCAGTTGATTGTACTCCAAATTCTGTAATTTTTTCAGCCTCAACCTTGGTTATTTATGGATTTTTTTAAACAATAAAAGCATGCCCTTGAAACTGAGGTTTGGTGGATAAGCAAAATCTGGAAAAAGAGGTAGAAAAGAACTTTAATAGCAGGACCTGTGGGATGAAAAGCTACAGGATGAGTCCTCAGCCTTTGCAAAGCATCAGCTGAAACAGGGGAAGGTGTGTGAGGTGGAGAGAACCTGATGAGACTTGGCAGGGATGGGGAAAGATCGGTGAGGACAAAGATGACAGTTTGGAGAATGGGACACATAAAGAAATAAAAACTTGTACTCCTGACCCTTAAATTGCCAAAGACCTGGAAACTTAGAGGAAACTCAGATCATGGGTGGTATGGTACTGGTGACCTCCAAACTAAATCTTCATCCACAGCAATTATTTAGCGCAATGCCGTAAAAAAACCCAAATGAAAGAGCTGCTGTATTTTTGGGATACACCAGGCTGAAGACTGAGAATGCCTCAGTGGTTGTTTGTAAACCACTGGATATAGTGCCATCTTCAGACAGAAGGTTTAAAAAAAGATTCACCAGACACATTGTATTAGATTTCACCATGGAAAAAATGGGAATAAAGGTTAAAATAATCCCATGGTTCTCCTAGAGGACTGTGGTGGGTATTTTGGTTTCCATAACATCAACAGCATGTCATGGCAGCAATTCCATCATGGCTAAATGCAGCTCTGGCAGACAAATTCTATTAGGATTTCAAGAAAAATCCTCAGTGACTATTTAATTTGCCACTTATTTTTTTTGGCAGAGGTGTTGGTGTCTGGGTATCTCAGCAATCTCTCTTTGGCCTCCTGAAAGCTTTGGAGAGCTGAGGATTCAGAGAATGATCTATCCATTTCAGGTCCCTATCACCAAGACATAAAAGAAACCCTTATAAAGATACAAATACCTCAGATAAATTCACATTTTGAAGTAACAGAACTATTTTGCTCCCTAGAAACACAGTATTAACTTCCTGGTCTTCATTTGTGGACTTGTGACCATAATTTAAAAACCTTTGGGTTAGCAAGGAATGAAGAATATTCTGAAGACCCAAGATCTGAATATGAGTCCTTGAGTTTTCTTTCCATCTAATCCACTCCTCCACATGCAGCTGGAATTCCAGGGAAAGTAAATGGTTAAACTATCTAATTCATTCACCCAAGGATCAGTGCTCGTGCAGCTGCACAGATTACTTGTATTTATAGACTCAATCTATGCCAAAATGTCTGAATTTTCTAGCAGCAGAGCTCGCAGTGCTGCAGCTGGGGTCCAGCAGGATGACGTGCTCAGGCATTAAGAATTGGAATGGGCCCTTTGCAGTTTGATGGCTCCACAACTGCTCCTCATGTCCATACAGCAAACACTGACTCCAGTGACTTCACAGGCCTGACAGGTTTCCAGGAGAAAGCTAATTAGCTCTGAAGCTGCTCCAAGAAGAATTAGGGATTGCTGCACTCAGGATCTCTGTGTATCCCCCAGGCCTGGGGGGGAGCACAGACCTACTAAGAAATCCCAGCTCAATAACAGGAATTCTCTCATGGATGATGGCATCTTGGAGGAGGCTGCTGAAACCCCACCTCATGGAGGACTCATCTGTCTCCAGCTTTCAGCAAGGATCCTCCCTCCCTGAGTTTCTTCTAGGAAGTGTATGGCAACGTTTATAAAAAAATCCAGGCTTTGTGATAGTATCAAAATTTGCATTTTTATGGTGGACAATGGGAAAATAAACCTGTCCCTAGATATAGACAGGTTTTCTTGGAGCATCTATTGAGTAGGGTGCACCTACATACAAAGACCACTTCAAAAACTGAAATTAAATGGCTTTGAGCAGCTCTGCTCTACCTTATTGATCAAAACCAAAGAGATGAAACAGAAACCATCAAACTCACAAACAAGCCCTCCCTAAGTGACATGTCACTTGTTTTTTGAACATCCTCATATTCAAGGTAACTTTTTCTTCTGAATTTTCCAATCTCTGAGAACACTGGAGAAGCCCAAAATGAAACTATCAGGGTTTTTGGGAAGGGTTGGGTTAATTCTGTAATGATGATAAGGAGGGTCTCCCTTGGCCCAAGAAGAATTTCACCTGGAGAGAGGACATGCAGACTGTCATGTAAAAAAAAAAAAAAAAAAAAAAAGGCATTTTGAAGGTCTCTAACATATTTCCTGTGTTGTACAGCCCGACAATCGTTGCTCATCCATGAAACAACACATGGATGTTGAAAGCAACTTTCAGTTTTCTTGTCCTGCTTGTTGTTGAATAACAAATGGAGAAGCCTCCTCCCATCCCTGTAAACCATCTTGTGGTGTCACCTGCTGGATTGCAGCCTCTGTTTTTGTTATCTCTCTTAAGTGCATTAATTTGAGGCTGGAAAGCAACACCCTGTCTTAACAAATGTAAAGCAAAGCTTAAAGTTCAGCTTTCCCAATTTGCCAGGGCTATTGGAAGGTCATAATACTCTCAAGTCTGACCTCTGAGAACACATGAGTGACTTTTCCCCTCCCTCCCCACAAATCAACACTGGAAGGCAAAAAAACACTGCAAGATCGGGGTGGCTTTTTCAATAGATACCAAAAAATAACTTTTATGTGATATCAAAAGGCATGGCAGCATGTCCAGGCAAAGGCAGGGAAGGAATTGCTCATTCCTTGATAAGCTCTCTGAGCACATATCAAGGAGACAACAGAGCAGTGGTTAAGGTCTCCATTACGTTTTTGGAAGCCAAAATGTTTCTTTTAAACCAGCAAATATCTGGCTGGATTTTATTTTACAGGTGGAAGTTTGTCATACGGTCAATTAGAAGTTAAATTGGAGTAATTCAGTGTACACACCTTAACAAAACAGAATTAAAGGGATAATTTCAGAACTTTATCAGGGCCACAAAGTCATGTCAATACTCACTGGCATCAGAGAGTAAATATTTCTGGACTTACCTGTTCCAGTTTGAAAATGTGTTGGTTAAAGTAGTGCTGCAAGCGCTCGTTGGCAAAGTTAATGCAGAATTGTTCAAAACTATTGTTTTCATAGTCTTCAAACCCAAAAATATCAAGCACTCCAATGGATAAAGTCTGCAAGAAAAGTAAGAGTGAGGATTAGAATAAAATCACATTAAGTGGATTATTTGTACACAGTACATAATCAAAAGCACACAGGCAGAATTAAATATACTTAATAGGAATTTTACTAGAATTGTTGATGTTGTGCCATTTGGAAGACTCCTCCAAATCAGAGAGACAGCACGTAACTTTAGATATCTGGACAAAAGGGCTTGTTCTAAGAGAAAAGCCCTTTGAGAAGTGATTTTTTTCTTATTTACAAACAAATGGCCATCTTTGAAGAAACCTGAAGCCTGTTCCAAGTTATTTTATTGGATTTAAGAGTATTGATCATCAGAAGGGAAAAATGGGGATAGGCTTGGGAAACAAAAGCTTGCACCATGAAGACAACCCACGGGAACACACTTCCAAGGTGAGTGCATTGTCCAAGCAAAGCCACTCCAGCTGCAAACCATAAAAAAAAAAAAAACAACCAAACTCCTACACATCAGGGCTTCCCATGGAAATAATCTTTAGTTCTCCTGGTGAAAACTGAAATAGTATCACAAATAAAGCATCCACCTTGTTTGTCAGATGGATCAGACAATGGACTGATGTTTGGGAACATCGAGTCGCTCCTGCCTCACTGAAAGGGGGGAATTAACACAAAAACAATAATGATGCTGAAAAAGAGAGTCCAAAGCCCTGACTAACACTCAGCTCTAACTGCTGGTCAGCCCTGCCCATGTGATCTTCCCCTGTGACACCTGGCTGTGTCCACACGGCTCTTCTGTGTTCCAGAACCTTTTTCCACTGGCCCTCACCAGTTTGGGATGAGAGATATGGAGGGACACCTCTGTGCTCATTTAGTTCATGGGCAAGAGGGGTGTAAAGAGGGACCCATTCCATTTTTTTTAGAACCCATTGTCACTATAAGCCTTACAGTCTCTCTAACAAAATTCCAGAAGTTCACAATAGGGAAGTTTTTCTTTTATTAAATCCATAACCCATAATATAAATTGTAGGATTTGGTGAGTTACAGTTCTAAATAGCCTTTTTTCCCCTATCACTTTGATTATTTTGTAAACCTCAGCCATATCTCACTCCAGGCTTTTCCCCAAATTGAAAAGCCATTGCCTGTTTGGTCTCTAATCTACAATAACCTCTTGAGACGCTCATCAAGATGTAGGTGCACCAAGATTTCCTCTATTGGTAAAGAGAGCTCAATGCTGCAGGGAATTCCCAGCTTGATTTGCATCCTCCTGGCCCCCTCCTCGCCCCACACCAGCCAGGCAAGGAGAGGCAGTGGACCTCTGGCCAGGCGTGTGTTGGCCTGCAGGCGAGTGCAACCCATCACATCCTGGCTCATATTGTGCTTCCTACCCTTGATGGGAGTAGAAATGTGGAACTTTCTCCTTTGTGTAGGTACAGGTTTTCATAAAACTAGAGCCTTCTGCCTGTCAGATGGGTTTGGGAAACCCAGAGGAAGAGGGACATGGGGATGTGTCAGCAAATAAACCTCATCCACAGAGGGAGCCGGGGTGAAAAACAAGCTCAAGATACAGTTTCTGCTGCAGCTTCCATGCCTGTAAATGACTGTTGTGTTGAACACCTAAGTCATTATTAGTGTTATAAATAAAACTCATACTGTGCCCACTCAGAAAGGCTGCTGTCATCAGAAAAGAAGTGAAGAGCCTGAAGGACACATCTGGGGAGAGCTCCACCAGCAGCTTGTTAAAGCACCATGTTCTGGGATCCAGTCAAAGCTACCTCACACAAATACCGTGTTCAGCTGTTAAAATTAATTAAATAATTAATAAGAGAGGTAAAAACACTAGCACTGGTCAAATGAGCCAGACCTCAAGTAGGGAGGAGAAATAATCCCTCCCCTCCGCCTCAAAGGAGAGAGAGCTGCCAGGTGCCCTGGTTTTAGTTCTACTGGTATTACTTGCACTTTGGATTTTCTAACACTAATTCCACTGCCAGGAATACAAACCAGACTGTCCACAGGCTTCTCCACACTGCCTTTTGTCCATTTTCAACACATCACATAACGTGGGAGGAAAATATTCCCTCTGTGCCCAACTCCTGACCAGGGAACCACCTACGGCTGGAGCAGGCATGGCTGCCGTGGGCAGAGCAGCCACTCGGCTGTGAGTTGGAGCTTTGTCTGACCTGGACTCTGGCCACTGGGACAAGCGAAAACACAACAAAAAAAGCATTTAAACACAAAGATAAGTCTTTAAACCATTTTCCAAGAGCTCATTGACTACTTCATCTTTTGTCCAGGCTTTTCTCCCTATTCCAGGGCCAGACAGTCTCTACCTCCCTGATGCCACGACAAGGACGAAGGCCCTTGGCCACTTTCCCAGAAGTTTGCATCACTTGATGAAACACCCATGAGAAACAGCTCTCTGACCAGAAGATGGAAATTGGGAACCATTGGACCAAGGACTGAGCCTGGCAGAGGGATTCACTCTCACCCTCTGCTTCCCGAGGTCCAGCATCTTCTCCTGCTTGTCCCAATGGATGTGGTAACCCTTCTGCTCACTGGGCAGAAATCTGCCTCATCATTTTTTAAATACATCTCAGGAGGAATTCTTCTTAAACTCTCTGTATGATTAACGGATCACATCTTACCTATATATCCATGGAAAAATTGATGATGGAAACAGGACAAAGTGACTTTTCTCATCTCCCTTGCAAATCCCAACCCCAACCACCTCATTGCTTTTCAAGCTCATCTCTACAATAGACAAGAGTTAAAAAAAATTCCCCTACATAAAAGTCTCTATTCCACCATATACAAACAGGACTTGGAAGATAAAATGCTCACACTTCCAGACTATTAATGGATTTACTGACACCAGATTTCAAAAGCATCGTGTTGATGCCCTGTGGAAATAGTTAAGCCCCTGCCATGAGTGAAGACTTTAAGCTGAATAAGGTCTTTAAGCTCTCATAAACTTAATTTAATATGAAACAACTGAGCACAAAAACCCTCTCCCTTTTTTCCAATCCCAGTTCATTTACTGCATTGAAACTGCTACCAAATGTATTTCAATGTGGGCGTGGAAATACACTTATAAAGCAAAACAGAAGAGTCATATCAAGCAAAAAATAGCCCTGACAGTTATAAAAGAAACTTATGGAAATATTATATTTTAAAGCTGTGTTTTTATATTTTTTTTGCTGACACCTAAAATTAAACACACACAGAACTAACATTATAAAAATATTATTGCAAAAATAATCTGCATTTCACAAAACCACTGCAGGTATCAAACCACACATCCAGGAGGAGGATGGTTAATTCTGCCATGGTTGTTATACAGAGTAAACCAGCATTTTTCTCACATCCCTGTGTTTGTAACTACCAAACTCCTCCAGAATACAGATTATAAACTGTGTGGTTTTTTGCAGAGTTTCATGCCAGAGAAATCCAGGCAGAGCTCTGCAGTGAAACAGTCATTTGTCCTCTGCTACGACGCTTCCAAAAGAATGGGGCCAATGGATGCCACTTGGGAAAACTTTAAAACCTGAGAAATTTTGAATTTATGGCAGCTTTTCTGCTCTCTGTCCCTGATAAAGCAGCACAAAAATACTAGTACACAGTCAATTCTGGTAGCAAGGTGAAAAAACACAATTTCCATTGACATAGACAGGAATTAATTTTGCTAAACTGCCTGTAAAAAGTGTTTAATCTGGGTGGGTTTAGGATGAAGTTTGCAGCCCAATATTTAAAAAAATAATCAAAGGGGTTTAACATTTACAAATCTTTTAAGTCTTCAGCTTCAAATCTGTCCTTTGAATAGGTGCCATGAGGAAATCACACAAAGATAACTCAGACCTTGACTTGCTAAGTCTAGTTTGTGCGTTAATGTTGTTTCTTTATAAAAACAAACATATAGAATTAAAAAGTGTAACTGTATTAATTAGTATATCAAAATTCCTGTGACTAAAAGTGCATGTCTGTGAGGATTTATAAAATTTGGGTGAACCCTGGGTCAGTGAGCACTTTCTGCTTGAGATGATGAAAAATGACCTCATGCTTTTCTTAAAATGTCTCAGCCATGACATTTAAACACAGAGCATGAGTTTTAAGGGCTTTTGGCAAATGATGGCCTTGAAACTCCGTGCTGTCCAATTCCCAAAGTGCCAATAAACAGGGATCACTGGAGCTGATTTATGCTGTCCCAAATGCATGCTAGTGATGCAATTCCACCATGGAGGTACATTTTGGCAATCACAAATAGGTTTGCTTCAAATTCAGGGGAAAAATCTCGTTTATTGCTATTTTTAAATTTTTAACCTCTTGTCATTTCAGTAATTTCTTTTAATTTATAATGTTCCAAAGCCAATACTGCAAAAAATCCCTGCCCACAACCCCAAAATCCATCACCACTTCATCCAACAGGACCACTCCAATCTACATCACCCCAATATACAGGATGACCTATTATATAAAGTGAAAGGCCATGATTTGCTACAAACTTGGAAGTTGGGACCTAAAATTAATGAACTGATGCACAATAAACACATTGCATGTTCAGCAATTCTTCCTCTGCTTCAGGTCAATAAGCCAAGACTTAACTGGTTGGTTGAATTTAAATGAATTTTCTTCATGGCCATGAGTTCTTCATATGTTCAGCCATGAATTTTTCTTCATGGCCATTAATTTTACTTTTCTTCACAGCCCTGAGCTCACCATCATCCCCATGTATGCAGCACATCATCCAAGAATGGCAGCAGCATGATTTGGGAAGAAATGAAGACACTTCACAAGAACCAAATGGGGAAAGATTAAAAACACCCATGGAATGCCTTTTGATCCATCACAATCTCCACTCTATATTGTTTTTAAGAGGTGAGATAGACTTCAACAATTCCTAACCTGATTTATGGAAGGGGAATTCAATAATAAACCTCTGGGAGGTTTAGTAATCTCATTCTCAAGAGAAGGAAAAGTCTCTGACCTCATTAATAAAGGTCAGATTTCAGACAGTTTGTAGGCAATCATGAGACCATAAAAGGAACTAAAAGGAATGGAGAGAAGATGAAGGAAAAGGGAGTTGGAGCAAATCCGACCCATGGCAGCTCTGCCATTACTATAACCCAGGAGGTATCAAATAACATATTCACAACTCGGGTCAGAAAGAATATGCTAGAAATTCTGTCACCAAGCAAGACAAGCCAAATCCCACTGTGTTTTCCCAAAATATTTCACTGCACATTTAACTAAATTTGGATATCAAAGGTCTGATTTACATCTTCCAAATATTTGCTGGACAATATGGAAGAACAACGGCTGAGTGTTTATTTTTCTTTACCCAGCTTCATCTTTTGATCTTCTCCTTACTGCTGATACCAAATAAACACATATTGGGATCTGAAAATTATCTCGGTTCCCATTGTCCCAAATCTACACTGATGAAGAGAGAAACTTCTGCATTAATTTTTCTCCTCAACTTCTCCCACACACATTCTAAATTGAAATACTTTTGAGTCTTGTTTTACCTCTGCATAATGTGATTATTATAAAAGAAAGCTCTGTGCCCCAAATCCATCATCTGACACTTTCTGAACCTTTCAAACCTGCAGGATTGTTTCAAAATGTATCTTAAAAGTCAGAGGAATATCAGTGTCAAGCATGGGCTGGGATCGATCCGGGACATTTGCCGCAGGGTGAGTCACATATTATTCATCCATTGCATACTCAGGGGTTTCTGAGGTGCAAGGCTGTATTCTCTCTCATAAATCAGAGACTTGGTGTGTTTAAAAGATTTTTTTGGCTTGTATATGCCAGCAAGGAGATGTCATCCATGTGCCAAGCCCTTGCCTTGCAACAAGGAGGTACTCCCAGGGTTTGGAGATGCCACTGCTCCCAGTCCACCTCCCAGTAACCCAGCTGGTATTGCCCAACCTCAAAACAACACATGGGAAGCTAAGGAGAACCTGCATCCTCATCTGGGTTTTCTCCAAGAATGAGTTGAAAAGGGATTCAGGAGGATTGGGAAGTGGTAGGAAAAAACAGATCAATTGTTGGCCGCGTATCTCCACAGTGCTGATTCTTGGTTGGTGCCTCAACGGCAGCTGCAGAGCCCAGGATGCCCTTGGACACTTGTTGGCAGCAATGTTATTCCTTGAGGGCAAAGGAGCAGCTATTCCCAGCCCTGCCCAGTCCAGGGAGACATTTCTCCTTCCTCTGTGCTGAAACAACCCAAGCTGGGGGCTAAAAATAGGGCTGGGAGGTGACGTGGTAGAGCCACTCAAGGGAAAATTGGCTGTCAATGTTTAATGAAGCTGCTCTGAAATGCACATAAATCTCTTCTTCAGTGTCTCCACCCCTAAAATGGGGAGGATTTGTGCATTTTCATGATTTCTGGGGGATTTGTGGAATCAATCCAATTCATACAGGACTGTGAAGATAAACTCCACTACACTCGTGCTTAGAGCAGCAGATATTTCCTGGTATTTTGTGCACTGCCTTTCTGCTTCAGAAACTCTGGCCCAAGTACAGTCCAGGATTGCCTCCCTGGATCTGGATATGAGCACATTCTGCAGCTCCAGGTCCTGGGCATTTGCCAGCATGGGTGGATCTGCTCTGGCATAGGGGCAACACTACTCCCAGCTCCTGGTGCCTGCTGCCTGACCTGGATATTACCATTACGATTTGGGACAAAAAAAAAAGGGTCAGAAACCTGTGAATTGTGAATTCATGAGATGACACACAGAGGTGGGCAAGGGGGAGGGTGGTCACACTCCATGGGAGTCTTGGCTGGAGGAAGCAGAGGGTTAATGTGCAGCAGCAGTGTTGGAAAAAAAGCAGGAATTTCGGCTGTTCTGGCTCTTACCTGCTGAGATTTGAGGTTGGAAACAAAAGTTTAATTGCCCATAAACAGCTACCGTGGTGCCTCACTTTCACAGCCATGCTGACTAAGCATACAAGAGTGTCCTAGACTGATTTGTATTAAATATTACAGAACAGATAATAATTTCAAAGACTCACTGGGTCATTAATAAAAAATAATTAGCATTTGAGATGCATTTTCTTGTCAAAATCCACTTTTCTGCTTCACCAAATATGTAAACAGTGTGGTTTGTTTTCTCCTCACAGCCCAGACAAAACTTTTGATTACTTGGAAAAAATCAGGAAAGAACACAACATTTCTGGTAAAATATTAAACAGAGGGAGAGGCAGCATGTGCAGTCAGAAGGCTCACTGGATGTTATCACTGTAACAACCCTTCTTTGTCAGAAAAGCATATAAGCAGATTTCATAGGCATGTTTTTATTTCCAGTCCACAATTACGCTCCACAACCCTTTTTTGGAATCAAATAAAGGAGTGACCGCACCGAGAGTCTCTGCAACTTCAGTTCTATGGCACAATCCAAATGTCAGTGCTCAGCGAAAATCCTCCTTTTGGCAGCTGTGACTTTAGTTTGTATGCACAACACCCAAAAAAACTCCACATGCTGCTGGAGCAAGTCCCAAATTCCCAAGGCAGGGGTAGCTGGAGAGCTGGAAGTGTACATGGACATGGATTTTGGGGTCAGTATCCCCCAGCCACGAGGAGTGTGGATGAGTACACGAGAGGGTTAGGGAGGGTGTCCTGGGTCACAGCATGCAGGCCCTGCTATTGCAGGAAACTTCATGTCATTCCTTCCATCAATTCTTTGGGAAGATGGTACAGCATCCCACCAGCTTCACTCTTCCCATCATGACTGTTTTCTTTAAATTCATTTTTCTACTGTACTACCTCAGTACCTACAGATACCCACTTGTTCATCATTTCGTCATGGAGCAACTTCACCAAAATGCGGTAGCAAGAATTCCCTTTCTTCCCTCTGAATTATACATGGCCCTTTAGTTTTACACATAAGGAGGAAAATATTTGCCATTGCTTCTGGAATGGGTGGGGGAACTGGCTTTTGTGGCTACAACAAAATCTCTTCCCTGGTTGCTTTGAGCTTATGATACTTAAGGTGCTTCATCCTTCTCAGCTCAGCAAGCACCACTTAGAATAATGATGTACTAAGTTATGATCCGAGGAAAAATTAACTTCATGTTAAGCAACACGCCTGGGTAATGTTTTATCACTCAGTTATCTATTTTAAAAACCCAAGAGAGGAGCCACAAGAGCTGGTGAGGTGCTACCTTAGTGCTTTCCTCCATGTCCTTGGAGTTGAGGAGCGCGTGGTTGATCCTGAACACGATCCAGTCAAACAGGGCACTGTACAACGACTTGGCCATGGAATTCCGCACGGTCACAGCCTGAAATAGAAAAGAAGAAAGGTGATTGGAAATGATTCCTGCTCTGCACTAAAATGGCTTTTGCTTCTCAAACTCCCATATCCAACATTCATATTTCTCCCTTGCCAAAGCTTTTGTCTGCTATTTTATTTTATGCCATGTATGTCAACGGTCCTAACAGCACAGGGAATTGGGTGTAATCCCAGGGCTGTGGATGTGCCCCTGACTTTGGCTTGGTTCCTTTCGTGCATTTGAGTGGATAATACACAAGATCACACCACAAATCCCATCACTGGTGGTGAAGGAAAAGAAAATAAATACATACATTAAATATAAATAAAATAAATTCACCAAGACCCTTGAAAGGTTTCCTGGGGGAGAAGGAAAGAGAAGGGTGGATATTGCGCAGGAGCAACGGCAAGCGACGTGAAAGCACAGGCCAGGACAGGCAGTGCCTGGCACCAGCAGAAAGGTTACAAAAGGGGAGGTTAAAAACCCCTCTGGTAAATCTGAGGGCTCCTGAAAACTTGAAGTTTTCCAGGTACCACCAGTGGGAGCTACAAATCATGGCAGGCAGGTTCAGTGCTCCTCCAGCAGCTCTCCCAGAGAGAGGAATAACAGCGCTGAGGAAGGGTCATCCCCACCACGGCCAGGATCAAAGAGATTCTGCTTGATGGGATGAAAGCTGAGATCAAAGGAAGATCCCTGGGCTTTTTGACAGGCACCTACATAGAGACCCAGAAAGCAGGAATTTCTATTTAAAGGTTATCTTTGTTCTTGCTGCTTGAGATTCTTCCTTGGTTTCCATTATCACCACGAGTAGAGCTTTGGTACATATTGATCACGTAAAAACTTATGGCACCAGCCATGGCTGCTACATTTTGGTTCGTTTTAGCCACTGCAGAAGAATAAAAAAGGAACCAGAAGATTCCCATGTAATTATTTCAATTAAACCCTGAACTGTAACAAATTGGTGGCCTGTCACACATTGCCTTGAAATCCTTCCCACCAACGCTCCCTTCGAGGAACATCATCTGAGTGGCCTCATGTCACTGACCCCAAGTGAAGGAATAAAGCTCATGTAGCATCATTTATCTTCTATCAGCTTACTCCCACCTCTTTTTTCCTTGATTTTTGGAGATAGCAGCATTTAGTGTGATCACAAGCCGTTCTGCCAATGTTTTGCTCTTAAAATGCTATTAAGCACATGGTCTCACTTCCTCTCCCTGTCCAGCTGGACTAGGAGAAGGGATTAACTCAGTCCACACCAGGGGAAGTTTAGGTTGGACGTTAGGAAAAAATTATTCATGGAAAGGGCTGTCAGGCATTGGAACAGCTGCCCGTGGTAGGGGTGGAGTCCCCATCCCTGAAGGGATTTAACAGATGTGTGGATGTGGAACTTGGGGAAGTGGGTTAGTGGTGGCCTTAGCACTGCTGGGGGACGGTTGGGCTGCATGAGCTCAGAGGGCTTTTCCCACCTGAACAATTCCATGGTTCTATGGCTGATGATGCTCACAGCCTCTGTATGCTGCTAACCATGAAGTGGTGGCAATAAAAAGTGACATCACAAGGTAACTACAAAATGTGGCCATAATTAGCAAGGAATTTCTAACCCAAAAAACAATCAAAACCAAGCATATGATGCAAATAGGTGAGCAACAGGACTGAGAGGATTTTGGTGCAGCTCAGACTAAAATAGCAATTTTAAAGAGTGAGCTCTTGAAATGCTCGAATTCTCCAACAAGGGCTGGAAAGAAGCCTGCATTTCAAACACAAAGAGCTCCAGTTCTCACTAACTGCTTTTTCTTCTCTGTACTGATGAAAAAGGTTTGGGGTGGGTTTTTTGGCTGTTTTTATTAAAAGCAACATGGGTTGTTTGGGTGGGGGGAGGTTGCTGTCGATTTTTTTTTTTAATTTACTCAAATGTGAGACAATATTTCAGTGATTAATAGAAAATTCAAGGCTCCATCTTTTTTCATTAAGCTGGAAGACAATCAGTGCCACAGAAAAATCAGTCTCTGGGGAAAAACCTAAGGCCAAGATCCAGGAATGCCTCTCACTGCCCTAATGCTTTGTCCTGGCATAAACCAGCCCAATTAATTGCTCCAACGTGCAATTAAAAACAAACTCCATCTCTATTTAAAGCCAAAAAGAACATAGTTATTTCTCCTACAGCATCATATATGAGTTTATATCACAATACTTTTCATTACCTTTTATTAGAGGCTGCAGGGATGTGCAGTACTTCATCCCTGAATATCCCTGTTTTTTTTTCCAAAATAAACTAGGATATCATTAAGCCTATACCACTCCAGTGCTGAGGAATGCTGAGAGTGTGACTGCCACGAGTCTCCTGAATGGTCAGACTGGGAAATTTCCCTGACATCAGCACTGCCCAGTTTCCTCCAGAATGTGCAGGGTGGGGGATGAGGCACTGCTCTTATTCCCAAAGTGGTCTCAGCTACATGGAAAGCTGGGAAGCCATGAAAAGGTGATTTCCTTGCTATGCTTGGGTCCCACAATCAGTGGCCCAGACCCCAAAGTGTTCAACAGCTACTTTTAGAAGAGATGGTTTAATGTAAGGGCTGGTAGGAAACTCCTAGCAAAGTGACATATTGAGAATACAGGGGGGATGGAGCAGTTTGCCTTCATCCATTTAAAAAATACCTGCACTGAAATGAAACTGTTTTGAATGACTCAAGGTTTAGGGGAGGCCTTTCTTTATTTTTTGAATTGAATTTTTTATTTCATTTCAATAAAATATTTACTTTTTACAATAGATCTTCACTGATGTCACATCTGAAATACAACCCCCCACTATCCTAAACAGATTCCAAAACTATCCAATCTGGAGACCATCAAGGAATATTATTCCTTTTCAAATTCAGAAGTTGCAGCAGAGCATTTAAAATAAGGTTTTATATTTTATTTAATGAGAAATCATTTATTTCTTTACTATCCTACATATCTTAAATTAATTCTAGTCTCTGAACTATATCCATGCACCACATACAGCTTGTCTTCAGGTCAACACCTACATCTTCTGGTGTCTTCCACAAGTCTCCTTATGTGACATTTAGGCAGATCTGGAACATGGTGATACTCATCAAACCATTTCTATTTCCCTCACAAAGCAAAATAAAAATAGCTGTTGTAATGCCAAAACAAATCTCTGGGGATCAAAGGGAGCAGGACATGTTGCACCCACACAAAAATATTGCTGATTCCAAACTGAGACAGATCAAACGCGCTTTGACTCAGCAGGTCAGGAAATAAGCTACAGACAAGGTTTTAATCAATACTTTCCTGCTTATCAAGCTAGAAAGGATCTATATATTATTTATTATATGACAGGAACTCCACTTGTTGGGTTGGCCAACTTTTGTTAAGATCCTGATATAACATAGTTGAGTTCTTTGTAAGATTTCATTGCCAAATTAATTGTACTGAAAGTTGTCATGATCAGCATCTGATTCAGGCCACCTTAAAAATAGATAAACTTCTGGAAACATCTTCTGTTAAAAGGAACAAGGGGAAGACAGGCTGAAGAATTAAAATCTGCTTTTGAAGTGTTTTGGAACAAGGACTTACAGTTCCAGCAGCAGCAGCCTGTGTTTTAGAGGCTGGAAAAGATGTAATCTCAGGAACCCAAATTTGCTCAAATTAAAAGTCTCTGTAAAACACATTTGTACACACAGAGGAGATTCTTAAGAACTGAGATTATAAAGTCACTAAATATATTTAAGCAAATCTGTCTGCTGCCATCCCACAGCACCCCCTGCTCCAGGATCCCTCACTCCTGCCCTTCTGCACTCAGCTGAGGGCTGAAATTTCAAGCTGGAATTATTCAAAATACTTGTTGGTACTCAGAAAATCCAGGGTAAGCAGGGGGGTTAAAATCCCCACCAAGCTTATACATTGAAAACAACAAGAAAGACATTGTGGGGCTGGGGGCAGAGATGGAAACAGAGCTGGGGAAGGGTCTAGAGCAGCAGGAGCAGCTGAGGGAGCTGGGGGGGCTCAGCCTGGAGAAAAGGAGGCTCAGGAGGGACCTTCTGGCTCTGCACAGCTCCCTGACAGGAGGGGACAGCCATGGGCGTGAGATGGGCTCTGATCCCAGGGGACAAGGGACAGGACAAGAAGGAATGGCCTCAATCTGTGTCAGAGGAGGCTCAGGTTGGTGGAAAGGTTGGTCAGGCACTGGCACAGGATGCTCAGGGAAATGGTGAAGACTCCATCCCTGCAGGGATTTAAATGATGTGTGGATTATAGCACTTGGGGACATGGGTCAGTGGTGGCCTTGACAGAGCAGGGGAATGGTTGGACTAGATCTTAGAGATCTTTTCCAACCCAATTGATTCCATGATTCCAAGATGCTCAGCTAACCTTTCACAGCCATTTTCACATGATTTTGCTGGAAGTTCCCCCCATGCTCCTTGTAAGATTCAGTGTTTTTACTGCTGACTAACCTAACACACAAGCAAGAGCAGCAATAGTTCAATCTGAACAACAAAACCTCAAATATTTTACATTTTTCAGGCTAAGGGGAATAAACAAGCCCAGAGAACAGAGGGTGGGTGAAAGCAAATGCTGAAGGAGTTTGAAAGGCAAAGATCAAAAATTGCAGCAATATCTCAGCGACTGGATGTCCCAGGGAGCAGAGAGCAAAGAGATCCTACTGAGTTGGACTTGATGATCCTTGTGGGCCTCGTTCAACTCAGGATATTCTCTGAGGAAGAAGCCATCAAGATGCTGCTGGAAACTCTGTGGTTTTAGACACACCATTCCATAGCCAAGAAGAACATTTTTCTGGAGTGTGGACCCTAGTAACCACAGTGAGATCCAGAGTGGGAGAGAAATACAGGAGACAGACCCTCTTCTCAATGACTCCATCAAACCCACCAACCATGGAGCATATCTGGAACAGCAACTGACCCTGGTGTTCAGCTTTAAGCATTTTTGACCCAAATAAATCCATAGATGAAGGGCTTTTGTAACCAATAAATACTTCCTCTAACATT